AGTCCCACCAGCGAGACAGTGGAGATGAGCACAAGGGACACAATCAAACAAAGTGTAATCGTGGGTAAGCCCCCACCAGCAGTGGCCCTAGCCTCGGAGCCCTGCAAGGCCTCTGGGCCCTTTTCCTCCACCAGCACCACCAGAGTGACAGCTGTGGAAAGTGGAGGCTCCCCCGTGTCCCGAACCACCACCAGCAGTTCATGGGCAGAAGCGTCCGTCTCCTGCAGCGCCCGCATGATCCGGATCTCCCCAGAGCGCAGGGCCACGCTGAAAAGCCCCGGGTCTGTGGCTTCCACAAGGTGGTAGGAGAGCCAGGCATTGCGCCCCGAGTCCGCATCTATTGCCACCACCTTGGTGATGAGAGCAGGAGGGACAGTGGAGGGAGAGATTCGGAACTGGGTAGCAGAATCCTCACCAGCCCTAGGGAAATGGATCTGTGGGGCATTGTCATTCTGGTCCACTATGAAAACATGAACCAGCGTCCTGTTCCTCAGGGCCGGGGAGCCACCATCAGCAACCTCCACGTGGAACTGGAGATAGGTGGTTTGCTCATAGTCAAAGGGGAATTTGGCAGAGACCCGTCCACTTGTGGGATGTATGGAGAGGTAGCGAGTTGGATCCAGGCCTGGATCTGTCCCGCCAGCTCGCAAGATGGAGTAGGAGAGGCGGGAATTCTGCTCCGAGTCAGGGTCAGCAGCAGAGACTGTAACCAGTACGCTGCCCACTGGGTTGTTTTCTGCCACCAGCACTTCGTAGGATGCTTGCTCAAACTGGGGTGTGTTGTCATTGACATCTGCCAAGGTGATTGGCAAGATGGTGTGGCGGGACAGAGGGGGACTGCCCAGGTCCGAGGCAGAGACAGTGACATTGTAGTAGGCAACGTACTCCCGGTCCAAATGGGTACTGGTTAGCAGCGAGTACTGGTGCTCATAATCCTTACGCAGCTGGAAGGGAAGATCTGGAGATACATAACATTGGACCTTGCCCTGTTCACCAGAGTCCCTGTCTCTGACGTGTATCACGGCCACCACTGTGCCTGGGGGTGCATCCTCACTCAGGGAGCTGGAGAAGGAGGTAAGAATGACTTCGGGGGCATTGTCATTCACATCAGTGATTTCCACCACCACGCTGCAGTGCTCCTCCATTGTGGGTGACCCCATGTCCTTGGCCTCCACTTCGATCTCATACACCGTTGCCTCCTCGAAGTCCAGGTTTCCCTGGACACGAATCTCTCCAGTTTGCTCATCGATGGCAAAAATCTGGCGTAAGGCAGCTGAGTTGTGGCTACTGAGAGAGTAGCGGATGTCTCCATTGGGCCCTTCATCCACATCAGTGGCATTTAACTTCACCACGAGGGTGCCCAGCGGCGAATTCTCCACCAAGCGAGCTCCATATGACGGTCTGTCAAAGACTGGGTGGTTGTCATTGGCATCCAGGACCTGAATAGTGATGTGTGTCTTGGTGGACTTGGGGGGAGAGCCACCGTCTTCAGCAGTCAGAACCAGGTAGTGGAAAGCTCTGAGTTCCCGGTCCAGGGCCCTCTCCAGCACCAGCTCAGGGAACTTGCCACCATCTGTGCGTGCTTTCACATTGAGGTTGAAGTTCTCGTTGGCACTCAGGTGATAGGTTTGCAAGGTGTTGGTGCCCACATCAGGGTCCTGGGCAGGCTGGATGGGGAAGCGGGCACCCAGAGAAGCCAGCTCGTAGATACGCAGGGAAACCTCATCGCTGGGAAACTCTGGGGGGTTATCATTGATATCCAGGATCTCCACCTCAATGCGGTAAAACTCCACTGGGTTCTCGATGGCAAGTTTCAGGTGGAGGAAGCAGCGTGGGTTCTGCCCGCAGAGCTGCTCCCGGTCTATCCGCTCGCTGACCATTATAACACCAGTGTTGACATTGACGGAGAAGTACTGGGAATCCGAATCGGATAGTACCTGCAGATTAGCTGCCGCCAGTTTCGCCACATCGGTGCCCAGGTCCTTCGCGATGTTGCCCACGAAGGCGCCCCGGGTGAGCTCCTCCGGGATGCTGTACCGGATCTGAGCGGAGGAGCTGTGCAAGAACAAAC